AAGGACGCCCGGGGACTCACTCTCCGCCTGCAGGTCCAGCGCCGGCGACAGGCCCCACCAGGACACTGAGCCGAAGCCCGAGCCCGAGCCTGCCGGGGTGGTCATCGCCCTGTGGGACAGACACCCGGGGAACCCCACACTTACGCATCCCGTCGCCGCTCGCCGTTCCTCACCTCTCGCCCTTTTCCCCTCCACACGACCCTGCTTACCTTCACCCTCCAAATACTATGTGGCTGGCTTCTCGCTCGCGCCTCGCTGATGCGTTGAGGTCCGGCGTCCAGGTCTAACCGCTGTCCAAAGACCTGCCCCGCTCGAACAATCAGCCAATGGGAACGCAGTGGCTTGCCCCGCCCAGAGCAACGGACCAACGAATGTGAAGTAGAACCTCCCTCTACAGACTTTTGGCCAATAGGAATACTGAGGGACGCCTCCAGGTTTGGGGCGTGGGGACGCGGTTGTCAGGACGACTGTAGGGAGAAGGTGCGGGGCCTAATGAGCCTCGCTGGGCGGAGACGGAGGATTGCTTGAGGCCAGTTTGAGCTACAAGTTGAATTCAAGATCAGCCAGAACTACAGGAGAAAACCCTGTCTTACACACACACACACACACACACACACACACACACACACACACACACACAGAAAGAAAAAAAGAGCCATAAAATAAAATAAAGGCAAAACAATGGAACTTTGATGAATCCAAATTAAAGTGAGGTAGCCTATGCTGAGGACCTCTGTGTCCTCTTTCCAGTCACAACCTTAACACAGGCCTTTAGCCATGTGGGACACACAGGGCCCTCACTGTTCCTGGTCACTATCTTTTCAGAAATTTTGTGCTGGGCATGGTGGTGCATGCCGGTAATCTCAGCACTCAAGCAGCTGAGACAGGAGGATCGTTGCAAGTTTGAGGCCACCCTGGGCTACTGGGTGAGTTCAAGACCAGCTTGAACTACCTATCGAGACCCTGTCTCAAAAAGAAAGAGAAAGAAGTTTTGTAAGTAGGGGTTGTTACACACAATTATTATTTTGTGATAGCCAACCCGACTCCATCTTGTGCCTCAACATCACTTTGTACCTGTGCTTGAACAAAGCACTCAACACCCACATCCTGTTTGGCAGTAAACTCGATGAAGTTTGCAGGATGTTTTGTAGCTCACCTAGTGTGTGAAACTTCCTTGTGCCCCCCCACTAACCTGGCATGGTTCTGCTTCTGTAAGATTCCACTCTCTCCCCTGAGCCCTCCCCAACTGAAAGCATAATTTAAAAGGAGAAATCAAGCTGCTTCTCATTGCCAAAGAAATTGCTGGGTGCTAGCCACCCGTGGCTGCCGGCTGTAAAAATGGGCTCAAATCTGGCAGAGTGTGAACTCGCTCATCCACAACAATTTAAAATTAAATTTTAGTTGGGCACAGTGTTCCATGCCTGTAATCCCAGTTACTTGAGAGGCTGAGGCAGGATAGCAGCAATTTTAAGCCTAGTCTGGGCAATTTAGTAAGACCTTGTCTCAAAGTTAAAAAAATAAAAAGGCCTGGGTGAAGCCCTGGGTTAAATCCCCATGCTGAAAAAAAATTTTTACCAAGACCTGTGATGTAAAGGTACAAGATCCCAATGATGAACGTAACTGTACTGTAGACCTAAAATGTACCAATCAACTCAATGAGAGAAAAAAAAAAAAACCCAGAGCTCAGCTCTCTCTGTAAAAGCTCAGTTAATGAGAAAAAAATTTAACTCTATAATTAACAATACAACTAAGTACAATTAAATATATTGGATTAAATAAAGATAAAATATTCAAAACTCATTACTTCCTATTATATTTATTTTACTATTATTAATCCACTTGAGGTTATTTACATCTATTGTATCTTTATGGAAGAAATATTTTAGGGTTCCAGTTTAGTTTAGTGGTAAAGTAATTGTCTAGTACCCATAAGGTCCTGGGTTCTATCACCAATATATATATAATCTTAATATATAATGTCTGTTAAAAAATCAGCAAATCACAGCCACTGACCAGCTGTTTGTGTGAATGAAGTTTTATTAGAACTAGTGCCAGAAGGTCAGAAGGTGGGCATCGTGGCTTTGTAGTTCAGGCTGACCCTGAACTCATGGCAATCCTCCTGCCTCTGACTCCTGAGTTCAGGAATTACAGGTATGCACCACTACACCCAGCTATAACTGATATGTATTGGCTCAATCTTATAATATAGTTTTCCTGTTGCTGCCTTCCTTCTATCCTCTTCTGTTTAATTTCTTGCCTTGCCTGGTGGATTCATTCTGTTGGGGTTCATGGGGTTATAATCCTTGTTATCTCTTTCTAGAATATCCTTCAGAATATTTTGGAGTGCTGGTTTGGTGGTCATAAATTTCATCAAGTGTTCTTTTCGTGACAGTTTTGTTTTCCTCATTAATTTTGAAATATAATTTTGCAGGGTACATCAATGTGGATTGTAAGTTGTTTTCCTTTAGGGCTTGAAATACTTCATTCCCAGCTCTCCTTGACTTGAGGATTTGTATTGAGAAGTCTGTTGTGATTCTGACTGGCTTTCCTTTATAGGTGATTTGTTTCTTTTCTCTAACAGTTTTTAATATTCTGTTCTTGTGTTGAATTTCTGGAATCTTGTGTTTGTCTAGGTGTAGATTTTTTTCAACCATAGATAATTGGAGTTTGCTTATCTGTATGTCAAATTCTTTTTCCCTTTTGGGGGAATTTTCTGCCATAACTTCTGTAAACAGGATTTTTATGTCATTTGTGCTATGTCCTGCTTTTTCATTGACTCCAATCAATCTTATGTTCTTTCTTTGCATCATCTAGTAGCTGCTGTATTTTTTTCATACATTTATTTTCTTTTTTTAATAGCAAAACATTTATTGGCATATTTTAGGTGCACATAATGATAACACTCACCATAGGGAAACTGCACCTATAAATGATAAATCCTCCCTCTCTTTTCCTATCCCCCTCCCTCCAGCCCCCCTCCTCTCCCTATGTACAAAAGCTTAATTCCATTTTTCCTTCTATCCTCACTTTTTTTTGGTCCCTTCCTTTTCCCCTCCCTCCTCCCTTGTTCCCTTTCCCATTTGAACATTTTCTTCCCATTTCCCAATATCTATTATACATTTTAGTCTTTATTTCCACTTTTGTTTCTCACAGCAGAGAATGCAGTATTTATACGTGCCCAATTTATTTTACTTAAGAGTATGGTCTCAGCCAGGCATGGTGGTGCACGCCTGTAATCCCAGCACTCCGGAGGCTGAGACAGGAGGATCATTGAGTTCAAGACCAGCCTGGGGTACACAGTGAGTTCTAGGTCAGTCTCAACTACATAGTGAGACCTGTCTCAAAAAACAAAACAAAACAAAAAAGAGCATGGTCTCAAGGTGCATCCATTTGCAGCTGCTGGATTGATTTCTAATGGTTCTTTGCTATTTTTAAGAAATCTTTCTTTTCATGATTACTAATCATAATTCTGTCTTCTGTACCTGATAGTCCTCACGTTGGCTTATTCTTTTGTGTATACTTCCAATGGAATTTTAATCTCCTGGATGTCTGTTTGAAACTGTTTCACGGATTCCATTTCTTTCCTATGCTGGGTGTTCATGGTTTCCATCATTTTCCTGAGCTCCTCTTTTTTTTTTTTTAGTCTGTATCTTCTCTAGACTCTTTAAGCATGTGTTTCATTCCAGTATGATTTTTTAAAATAGATATTGCACACAAAAATATTGCATGGAAGCTCTGTTTATCTTGATCGCTGAGCTTTTTTGGCTATACCTTAAATGGTGGGACCCTACCCAGGCCCTTAGGAAGTACTGTAATGCTGTGCTAGTTAGTAGGTCCCTGTTTTTTCTTTCCATATTCAGTGTATTAGTCATTTTCTTGTTGGTGCGACAAAATGCCCAACACCCACAAGTTAAAGGAGGAGAGGTTCATCTGTCTTACAGTTTGTAGAGGTTTCAGTCCACAGTTGGCTGGCTCCAAGACAGGGCAGCATGGCACAGAGCAGCCACTGAGCAAGAGAATAGTGATGGCAGGTGAGGCAAGTATAGGCTGATTGGGGCTGGCATTTTGATCTCTAGTTTTCAAGGCTGATTACCTTCCTTCTAGGTCTTATTTTCAGGGAAAGGGGACATCACACACCCATGATCAGTTACCTCCCCAAAGCCCCACATACGAGCACGTGAGACTTTGGGGGGACATCTAGATATAAGCCATAACATTCGGTGACTATACATTGGTCACTTGAAATTAATCATGGTGGTGATATTCCAAGGTGGAAATGAAGAGTGGACACACCACTGGCAGATCACAAGGCCCTGTGGCCCCTACATCTGTATTCTTCACATCACCCCCACAATCCTATCTCATCCTTCCCTGGAAAAGTCCTGTTCATCCTTCTGGTCCCAACAGGGACTCCTGCTCTGAGCTCTGCTGCTGCCTTCCCAGCAGAATGGTCACAGCTTTCTGCCTGTGGGGCCCCACTAGTCTATCTTCAGGAGACCAGACAGGAGCACACTTGGGCGCTTGGCCTCAGTGTCAGGTGTGCTTGGGTGTTTGTGGTGCCCTGTCCCAGACTGGCTGAGGGTCTCGGGTGTGATTCAGCCCAAGGGCCTGCGTCCTGGCTCCTGACACTGTGGTGCAGGCCCTTTGTCCCTGTCTCCTCACGCTGCATACAGTCTCCCTGAAGGGCAGTGTGATCTAAGGGCACGGGAACCCTGACACTCCCTCCTCAGCCCCCCAAGAATGAGCCACCCTCTGGACATATGGGTGTCAACACAGCAAGCTGCACACCTTAGGTATGCACGGGGATGTTAAAATAATAAATCACAAAGAAAAATGTGAAGAACCAAGGTGCTTAAATCATCAAAGAAGAAAAATTATGAAAGCATAATGAAAACTGTTCAGAGAATTTGTTTTTCCAAGTTATAAAAAGAATTAAGTGTCTTTGTGTAAAGGATTCAGCCTTTCTTCAAAGCAAGTCTATTAGACTTTTAATTGTACCTGTTAGGAAAATACAAAACTGCCCAATTAGAATTAATAAAACAAGCATTCCTATATTTTGAGTTAAATTTTTTTTATCATATTGGGGATTGAATCCCCAGTACTGAGCTACAACAAACCTGCTTATTTATTTATTATTTATTTATTTATTTATTTGAAACAGAGTCTCACTAAATTATCCAGGCTAGGCTGGAACTTTCAATCCTCCTGCCTCAGCCTCCTGAGTGCTGGAATTAAAGGGGTCCACACCATGCCCGGCTTGTAGTGAGAATTATTGGCAATGGTAGGAGTAGTAGAGCTAATACATAGTGCTGTCCTCATACACACAACCACACACACACACACACACACACACACATGGGAAATTACTGCATTCCTGTGGGGAAATTTTTTAAGTCCCATAAACACTATTATTTATATAACTGATTCCCTTTTCCATTGGTTCCCAGGAAGCTTGAGCCAAGTCTGACCTCCTGTCTGGGCCCAGATGGGGGATGAGCCAATGAAACAGTGTCCTTCTAGGGACAGATGGGCAGGCAGCACTCATGGAAGAACACCGAGGCAGACGTAGGACCACTGGGTTCCTCCGGTGACTCTGTCCTTTCTCCCAAGGGCTCAGGAATCCCCTGTGTCCCCTGCACTGTGAGCTGCTTGGGTAAGGTCTGGATTTGCTTGTATTCTGGCTCCACAGCACCCAACTGGAAACCTAGCACAGGCCTGGGGGACACAGAGTGCATGGCTGATGGAAGGAAGGGTGAAGGGGAGAGGAAAAAAGCAAGGAAGGGGGCAGCAGGGAAGAAGGGATGCAAAACTTGGTATGAACCCTATGTGCACGCCTGTGATCACAGCTCTCAGGAGGCTGAGGCAGGAGGAGTCCAAGTTGAAGGCTGGCCTGGATGTTAGCAAGACACTATCTTGTGATTCACAAAGGGCTGGGTAAAGTGCTCCTCTAAAAACCTCAAGGGAGCCGGGCCTGGTGTCGCACACCTGTCATCCCAGCACTCAGGAGGCTGAGGCAGGAGGATCGCTGTGCGTTCCAGACCAGCCTGGGCTACATAGTGAGTTCTAGGTCAGTCTCAACTACATAGTGAGACCCTGTCTCAAAAGAAAAATAAATAAATAAATAAAAAATAAAAACCTCAAGGGTTCAAAAGCAGAGCCAAAAGAAAAGAAAAGACCGCTTTTGTACACGAGTAAGGAGGGCATCCTCTACTCCCACAGCAGAATTGTAGCAGGCCTTGTTATTAGCATGGTTTTCCCCTCTGTGTGAGGAAACGAGATGTGTGGATGAGCTGGGGGGTGAGGCTGCGGCGTCCCCTCCCTGGTGAGCCAGAGAGGGAGGAGAGGTTCCCTCCTGGTACCCCCACCCACCCATCCAGGAGCAGGGCCAGCCAGCTGTGGAGTATTTATTTGCCCGGAGCAGTGTAGGCTGAGGGAGGAGGGTCTACGGCAGCGGGACAAGGAGGGCTGATTGAGAGACAAGGAGACCCTGGGACTTCCATAGGGGCATGGTTGCCATGGTGA